TATGTATTACCTATCATTAGATAGTTCTATACTTACTTATAGAGCAGCACGATGGAACACAGTGTTACAAGACATTGTCTAGAGAAAAGAAGATTATCCTGGCTTACCAGTCTCTGCAGCTGGACAGAATCTACATGCCTAGCAACTAACATTTTCCTTTCTAAAAATAGTGTTTGCATTACTCAATTTAGCCCAGTGGTTCTCAACCATCCTAACACTTTGAACCTTTAACACAAATACAATTCCTCACGTTGCAGTGATCCCCTATCATAAAATTATTTTATTTGCTACTTCATAACTAATTTTGCTTCTGAGCAGTGTCTGAGTTCTTAAGGCCATCAGAAAACACGTATTTCCAATGGTTGACCCACAGGTTGAGAATCACTGGTTTAAACAAATTAGATTTTGAAGCACACTAACTAACTGCCATCTCCCTTCACCACTGGCTCCAGCTCTGATAGAGAACAGGTATCTATAACAGAGATTAATAAAAGCAGATTTAAGATAACCAACCCTATATGACAAATCCTCACCCTTCCCTTCTATATATATATTCCCTTTTTTGTTCCCCACTTATAATCTGACCTATACACCAGATTAAAATGTGCTGCTTTCCATATCCTCCATTCCAACAATCTTTCTCATACTACTTGGTTCACTTTTTTCATGTACACATAACACTATGGTTTCTGCCATCTGAAACACCAGAACCTTGGGTCAGGAATACCCACAGTGTGCTAGCTCTCAGTCCACTCCCCTAGGAAGTTACCAGAGATTGTTTCCAAAAGATGCACAAAGTCACAGGAAGGCCCCCTCACCTCAAGATGTCATTCCAAGTCCTTCACAGGGTCAATAGGGCCCTTCTGTGAGGTGACTTCTATTCTGCCTACTCTGCAAGTCTTGCTATCATCATAACCACTCATCTGAGGCTTTACACTTGACCTGAGACCTTGAGAAATTCATTTAATCCCTCTGAGATGGTTTCCTTGCCTATAGGATAGCAATAATAATCTTAGTTACCTCTCAGGGAAGAGGTTAACAAATGTTAAATGCCCACAATTGTATCTGATACAGTAAGTAACTAAAAGTCTCACATAACATCATCACCATCCCTAAAATTACAGTTCTTTCCGCCTTGAATAGACCCATCTCTGCCTCTTCTGTGGCTCCCCAAATTTCATTTTCCTGGCTTACGTTTAAGCCTAGCCTGCTTCTCCAAGGATGCCCTCTTGACCCAACAACGCTGGGCTAGATGCCATCCTCTACATCTTCATAGTACTATCCTTGTCACAATACTTCTTATATGCCTGTTTCTTTGCCTAACTATATGTACCAAATCATCAAGCCTAGTATCATGCTTAGTAAATGCCTCAAAACTAGTCTATGAAGGCAGGCATTAATGATACTTCTTGTAACTCCAGGCTGAGGAGAAGTACCCCAAGTACCAACACAGTCTTAGCTATACAGTAAAACCCTTTCTCAAAAATGTTTTAATTCAGTAAATGAAGAAAACTTTCCAATAATGATGTATCCATTGAAACAAGCAATCACCTGGAATGTTAAAAAGAAGTCTAAATAGCCATGCAGACCTACCCAAGGTCTATCCAAGGTCTGGAGATTGCTCAATGGTTAAGAGCACTTGTTGCTCTTCAGAGGTCCTGGATTCAACTCTCACCACCCACATGGCAGCTCACAACTATCTGAAACTCCAATTAATCTAGGGAATGACATCATCTTCTGGCTTCCTTGGGTACTGCATACATGGTATACAGACATATGCAGGCAAAACACCCAAACACATAAAATAAAAACAAATCCATGCATGAACTCCATGCTCAATCTCAAGCACCACAAAAGAGAAGAAAAAAAGAAGAATGGCACTTTATCAAACGTACGACTCAACACTCTGACTTTAGTATACAGACCACGTGGGCTAGCAGAGGTTGGGAGGGCACAACGTAAATAAGCACGCTTGCTGTCCTATTCCCCATCTCTGCAACACTCCCTACTCCAAGCCACATTACTATCAGAACAAAATTCCAGCCAACTCTCATAAATATAAAAATCTCACTACGAAACACAAAAACAGATTAATTGAAGTGAATTTTGAAAAGCTAAATGTAACACCTAACCCACAGCAGTGAGGATCCATAAGAACTTCTAAGACTCCAAACTCCAATCCTTTCTGTGCGCCTTTATGGAAAGAGAGGGGCACAAAAGGAGCTTGGCACTTCGGTAATTAATCCACATAATCAGCTGACAAATTTTAATCCAGGTTACTCTCATAGTCCTGCTATTCCTGATCACTACAGCTGTAAACCCAAACCCTGAATGGTCAAATAAGTATGCACAAACAGAAAATATGGAGTAATCTGGGTTCAAGGATAGAAGGTCTTCTCTGAAAACACAGGGACTAGGGTAATTCCAGAACTGGTTTTAGCAATAAAGCTTAAACTGTAGTGTGGAGAAAGGGGCTTTGCCAAAGACACAACCAGGCCTGGATCCCTGCTCTAGGGATGTCCTTCTCTGCAACAGATGAGAACTAGTAAGTCATTCTACATTAATGAACACTGAAATGAAGGCAGGCAATGCAGGCCGTGGCAATCACAAAAGGACAAAGATTGAATTAATTCACTTCACTATGAAGGTCCTACAGAGTCAAATTTACACCAGAAAACAGAATTTGTTTGCCAGGAGTTTCAGTTAGGGAAGGTAACATAATTTGGGGATGTCACAGCTGTACAACCATATACTTAATCCCAAAGAATTGTACACCGTAAAACTGTCACAATGCCAACTGTTTAAGATATGACATACATTTATGACTCCACAATTTCTGAAAGAATCTGACTTTAATGCTACTGTCTGCACAGTGAATCCTGCTTGACCAATTACATGGCCCTGACCAAGTCATGTAACCTTTCTCTAGGCCTGCTGCTTCTGTAAAGCAGGGATAATACTTAGGTCACAGACTGCTCCAAGGATCAAATGACATGGTCCACTAAAAACCCTCAGTCCTGTGACTGATTAACAGATGTCGGCTATCACTGTAACAAGCACTTTCACACCCATTTTCTTGTCTCCACAGCACCCTAGGAGACTACAGAAAGAAACAGACTCAAAGGGCCACAAAGAATGGACCAGCTCCTTGTTGAAGTCAAGACCCGTTAAATCCTATGATCCGAAGGCAAACAAACGTCCTAATCTGTGTCTACTGGCTGACAAGACAAAGGCATAAATCAAGCCTTGCAAACTACTTCACACTGCCTGAAAATGCAGTTCACGTTCAACAAATGACAACGTAGGGGAGGGGGAGAAGGAAAAAAAAATAAAACCTAGAGTGAAAGAAAGGCCGCTGGGAATTCTAGCAATCACCAAGGTAGTCAACTTATTTAGACAGCCTTCCCCTTTCGAGGATCAGTAAAAAACAAAGAAGGGTGCCTATTGAGCTCCACCTCCTATATGCCACCACTACTAAATCTAGACCTAAGGGCTGGGTGAAGCACAGATCAGGTCCGAAGAACTATAACGCAAACAGGAGTGCCTCAAACCCCGGCCCTGTCTGAGTTTTCAGGTGATCCCCACAACTAATATCAAACTCACCGCCGAAGGAAAACAGCTGCTGAAGTTAATTTTAGTTCACTTTAACCCCTAAAGGCCTTATTGGGAAACAAAGAAAAATAACACTATTAGAAGGCTGGGAGTTGAAGCAGCTGACTTGCGCTACCTCCATCCCTGAGCTTCCAACTAAGATCATGGAGAACATAGGAGATCTGAGGTTGGAGGAAGAGGGAGACATGCAATAAAGTAAAAAGTGGGTTTCGGTGAGGTCCTTAAGCTCAGAACATCACTCATGTTTGAGGCTAGGAGATCTCTGGGATCTGTCTACCACAACACCAGCAACAAAATTCATCGCAATCACTTCCCTCTCAGTTCTGGTACCAACAAAAGGGGATTTTATCTGTGACAGCTAGGTCGCTGTCTCAGGGAGGAACCCAGAGTTACGTTTCTTAACTATACGCTGTTAATCCTAACAGTAAATCAAAACGCCCTCTGCACAAGAGATAACACATGCTCCTATCAGCAAAGAAGTAACAGTTACTAACAGCCCTGCACTTCTACGGCTGTGCCTCTCTGCACCTCGATTTCGGCTCCTTTGGGAAGGGACAACTCCGGAAGACCGCTGTGGCCATTAGGCGGATACATTCACGAAGTTCCTGGGTCAGTCTCAACGAACGTTACCTGTTGGCATTTAACGCTTCTGTCAAGCACTAACTCCCTCCCTAAATTCACTAACACCCTGCGAGGCCGCGTCTCTTCTTGACCCCCTGTCGCCCAGGAGAAAACTGAGGCTCGGCCGCGTAGAGGACCGGAGTAAAGTGTGAGCCCCAGTCCCAGTTCCACTGGTTGGTCGTTCCCGTCCGCGCCCCAGGTGACAACGACCAAAAGATTGGCAAGGGTGGCGGGCGAGGCACTCAGAGCCGTGAAGGGGGAAGGAAGGGCCGGGTCTGCGCGCCTAAGGAAACCCAAAGAGCTGGCCCGGGCTGGAAAGCCGGAAGAAGCCCGGATCCCCGAGCGAGGCCAGGGCCAGGCCCCAGCCCGCCCGAGGCCTCCCCGGCGCAACCTCCGCTCCCTCCCCTCCTCCCCTCGCCGGCCGGGGCGGGGCGCGAGCACAAAAGACTCCAACTTCCGAGCGGGCGCCGGCCCACCCCCAACTCCTGGCCCCGGCCGGGCCTGCCGACCAGGAGCAAGCTGCGAACGCCAGGCGGCCAGGGACGAGCGCGGGCGGCCCCGGGCAAGGCGCCCCGGAGCGGGCGGCCTGGGAGGGGGGAGCTCAGAGGGAGGGGGCCGAGAGTTACTCCGGCTCCCAGGACTCCCGGAACGGCCGAAAGAAAGAGTTTCTAAAAATAGGCAGCGGCCCGCCGGAGGAGGTGAGGAAGGAAAACGCACCAGGAACAGCTCGCCCCACTCCTCCCGAGCGGCCCGCGGCCCCCACTCACCCGCGCCGAGGTCTGGAGGAAGCCGCGCGGCGCGGAAGGCGACGGCGCGGCCGCTCTCGGAGGGCGAGCGGGCGGGAGGGAGGAGGCGGCCCCGGCCGCCTCGTGAGGAGCCCGGAGCACACGCGCGACAGTCGCCACCGCTTCCGCCCCCTCGGCTTCCCTCAGCACCGCGCCCCGCGCCGCTCGCGCGCCCCGCCGCACTGACAGAGGCGCGAGCCCCGCAGCCACGAGTCCTTCTCCCGGCCGCCACCACTCGGGCGCGCGCAGGGAGGGGCGGGGAAGACAGACCCGTGCCCGCCGCCTCAGCTCCGGCCCGCTTCTCGTCCGCGTCCTCCTGGACGGACCGTGCCACCAAAGCCACCCGAACACTCGGTCCCCGGTGCTGCCCTGCCCGGGCCGGGCTCTCGGAACGCGTGGGCTCCCTGCACAACCCCCCCGCGCCCGGCTTTGGAAAGGTCCGGAGCTTCGGCGCCGAGAGGAGGGCGGGCCCGGGGCGGGGCCTGACGGGAGGAGGGACGGAGGCGGCTGGCGGGGCGGCCGGGGAGGAGCTGGTGGCTTCCACCCGGGCGGAGTGGGGGGTCCCGGGGGCTGACGGACCCGACGCCACTGGGGAGGAGCAGGTTGAGGGCGGAGCCTGCCGAGAGGAGGAGCCTTAGGGACCGGGCGGGGGCCTACGGAAGCGGAGGCTGTGCTCAAAGACAGCGCGGAGCCGCGGGGTGGCCGCGGGCCTGGAGGAGGTGGGCCTGGGGGCGCAGCGGCCAGGAGTGGGATCTGAGGTAGACCCCGGAGCAGGAGACGGAAGGAGTAGGATCCAGAAGGAGGGGCGCCGGGGTGGTGCTTGATTGGGCGAGGCCAGAAGATGGGGGGCCTCCCGGGAGAAGCTCGGGCTGTGCGGGCAGGGTCCTGAAGTAATTGGAGCCGGGTTATTTCACTTTCTAAGAATCAGAGTGATGCCACTCTCTGCGCTGGCCGGCACTGGGCGGAGAGGCTTCGTGTCGGGGTCTGGGTGCCGCTCCTCAAAGGAAAAAAAAAAGCTTAGTCGAGTAGTTTTGCCCACACGGGATGAAATGTTTTCTTACTTAATCTGGGTGTTGGCTCTCCCTCCTAAATATTTCTTGTGTCAGGATCTCCCGTTTGAATCAACATTTCAGTCTCCCAGCCACATCCCCACTCAGGTTTCTAAGCACAAGAGGACCATTGTCAATTCGAGCTCCAGACCTCCCAGGAGGCTGGATTCCCCATCCCCTTCAGACCTGTGATTTAATGACCTTTTGCGGCAGGAGACGGAGTTTGAGGCAGGGACTCAGTGTAGCTCAGTCTGGCCTTGCACTTGCTCTGAGGCCAAGGATGATGATGAACTCCTGATGCTCCTGCCTCTACCCTCCATCCGCTGGAATCACGGCGAAGCCAGGCCTTTTTAGGTAGGGAATGGGTGATTCAAACAGGCTCTCAGCCTTGCAGAACAATCACTCTTGCCCGCCAAACCATCTCCCCAGCGCCAAGACCAGGAATTCTTTGCTGATTTTTGGACATTACTGTGTTCCCAAACCTGTCCAATGCCTGTCACAGATGAAGTAAGAAATGCCTAGTGTTCATTCCATCAGTCGGACTGCTTTTTCTTGTTTTACCCGTACTCCTCATATCCTCCTCTATGCACTAGTCTTACCGTATTGGCTTGAATATACCTGTCGATTTCTGTTGTGTTGTTTGTTTTTTCGAGACAGGGTTTCTCTGTGTAACAACCCTGGTTGTCCTGGAACTCTTTGTAGACCAGGCTGGCCTCGAAGTCTTAGATCTGCCGGCTTTTGCTGGTATTAAAGGTGTGCACCACCACCAGGGTTTAGATATACCAATGTATTAACACCTTCTGTTATGGCGTTTTCGCTTTTCCACGTCTCTCCAGATACCCCCCATTCATTCAGTACACAGCTCAGGAGCAACCCTCTCTGAGACGCCTTCTCTGAACTTTCAAACCCATTATTAGGCAAGTTGTAGCTGTGGCCCTGCTCTGTTCATGTCTTCCATTATTAAAACTCCCAGAAGATACTCTGCAGGCACCGAGAATCATGTTCACATCCTACAAGGTCCTGGTCACTGGCTACTCTTCTGATGCGGTGGAAGTTTCATTCTGCTGCTTAGCTCCAGCAACGTTCTGGCCTTTTTCTAACAAGCCTGGTGTTCTAACATACTGCTTCTTCTGGACCTTTGCCTTCGCTATTGTGCTGGCCTCAAATAGTCTCCTAGATATTGAAATGGCTCACTGCTCACCATCTTACCAGTTTCTTTTTCTTTTCTTTTTTTAAGTTTCTTTCTTTTTGTTGTTATTGTTGTTACATTGCCTCACTGTGTAGCTCTCCTGTAACTCATAACGTAGAACAGGCTGGCCTTGAACTCCCAGAGATTTCTCTGCCTCTGCCTTCTGAGTGCTGGGATTAAAGGTGTGTGCCACTATGGTCAGCCATCTTCAGGTTTTCTAAAAAGTCTTATGTGGTCAGGAGCCGTGGTGCATGCCTTTGATCCCTGCATGCACTTGGGGGGCAGGGGCAAGCAGATCTCTGGGTGTTTGAGGCCAGCCTGCTCTATACCTACTGTCAGACCATCCAATGCTATATAGTGAAACCCTAGCTTTGAATAAATAGATAGATTGGTTGGTAGGTAGGTAGATAGATAGACAGACAGACAGACAGACAGACAGATGTCTTACCTGTCCACATTTTAGATAGTAACCCTTTCCTACTTACATCCATTCTCTCTGGCTTCTTCTCCATCTGGGTGTCCCATCTGAGTCCTGTTTATGTGCATATTGTCTCTCTGCCACACCCCACTTTCCACTACAGTGTAATCCACATAAAGACAAGCTGTTGGCTGTCTTATTTGCTCTTTAGTGCATAAAATAGTAGATCCCTCATTTAATGTTTATTTAATGGTTGACTATAACAAATTCAACAAAGAACTGTCCAGAAGAGTCAGTATTGCCCAAAAGAATCTAACGAGATGAGACTTTGAAGGGAGATGTTTCTAAGGAAATATGCTGGCAATGCTAGCTAACAGTTATGGAGCACTAACTAGTTGCCAGTCAGTATACTGACACCTTTTCAAAAAGTTTATTTAATCCCCATATCAGCCTTATGAAATAAGTCCTATTAAAATCCCCATAGATGAGGAAGCAGTCATGAAAAAGGTTAACATTTCCAAAGCCATACAGCTAGAAAATAATGGAGTCCAATTTTAGAGTCTACATGCTAAATGACTATGCTATGTCCTCCCTAATTATTTTTAACACTTATTTTATGTGTATGAGTGTTTGTATATATGTATGTATATATGTGCAACCACATACAAGCCTAGGGTCTGAAGGGGTCAGAAGAGGGCATCAGATCCACAGAACTGGAGTTACAGATGGTTGTGAGCCACATTTTGGGTACTGGGAAATGAACTCAGGTCCTCTGCAGGAACAACAAGTGCTTAACTGCTGAGCCAGATCTCAGGTCATTCTAATTATTAAAAACCCAGGGCAGGGCCAATTGGTGGTGGTGGTGCATGCCTCTGATCTCAGCAACTGGGAGGAAGAGGCAGGCGGATCTCTGGGTTTGAGGCCAGCCTGGTCTACATAGTGAGTTTTTTTTTTAAATATTTATTTATTTATTATGTATACAATATTCTGTCTGTGTGTGTGCCTGAAGGCCAGAAGAGGGCACCAGACCTCTTTACAGATGGTTGTGAGCCACCATGTGGTTGCTGGGAATTGAACTCAGGACCTTTGGAAGAGCAGGCAACGCTCTTAACCACTGAGCCATCTCTCCAGCCCCCTACATAGTGAGTTTTGAGACAGCTAGAGCTAGATAGAGAGACCCTGTCTCAAAATAAATAAACATTTAAAAAAAAAAAACAGGACAATTTATCAATAAAAGAGAAGAATGAAGAAGAGATGTTCCTTTGTTTCCTGGATAGCGTAGTCTAGTATGATACCTACCATTGTAACAGATTTTTTTTCTCAGTTACCATGAGGGGCAACAGCCAAAAGACAAGATGTTGTAGAAGTTTTGGAAGACAGAACCTAGAAAAATATTTCTAAAAATTGAACCAAAAATCTAATGAAACCATTCAGAATATTCACTCATTTCTGGACTTAATACTTGGGGATAACGGTGTGTGTGTGTGTATACAGAGGTTGGCATGAATGTTTCCACGATCACTCCCCACCTAAAAAGAATCTTTTATGCTGCATTTGTTACTGTACTGTAAGTCTTTGTTTCTTCTGGGATCTTTCTCTTCTTGCATAGGAGCTCTTTGTTCCAGGAGCTCGTGGACGGGTTAATCCGACCCTGAGCTCTGTAAATTCGGGGCTGCCTCTTAGGTACTTTGTTCATCTGGACATGTTCAAAGACCAGAGACTCCACATTCAGACAGTTAAGTTCAGCTTGACTCTCTGCATTTTTAAGCATGTGCAGCAAAAATTCAACCCCTTTTTCAGGCCATCATGTCCAGCCAGTGTTTGTCCTTGGCATGCCTCCCAGTGCCACCATTATTCTGACAGAATGGCACACATTGTTTCTTTAAAGTGACATTGTTCAGACTTGGTGGCTCTTCAGATATGAATACCCTTGATGGCCTGCTCGAGCAGCTTCACAGGTATTCCTATCATATGCATGAAGGCTTGACCTGCTTGATTTTGCATGGGTTTGTAGTGTTTTCTTGGTTGAGAAGGTATCGGACCATTTCACAGGTCATCTTGGACCACGTATACTGTAAACCTTACAGGAAGAGCCTTTTTAAAAATATTTTTAAAATTTTTATTTCTATGTTATGTGTGTGGGTATTTTTCCTGCTTGTATGTCTGTGCACTATATGTATGCAGTGCCCTCGGAGGCTAGAAGAGGGCACCAGATACCCCTGGAACCATACAGGTGCTGGGAATCAAATCAGGGTCCTCCGGGAAATCAGATAGTATTCTAAGCCACTAAACCACATTCAGTGCCCGCCCACCTAATCTTTTGAGATAGAATTTCTCAACCTGGAGCTCACAATTTGGCTAGACAGCCTCCGCCTCCCAGCACTGGGATTACACATACGTGCCATTATGCCCAGCTTTTTATGTGGTGTGGAAGAGCCAAACTCAGGCCCCCTGCTTGCAGGCCAAGCGTGCTAATGACCGAGCCATCGCCTCAGCCTACCTCTGACTTCGGCCATAACAGATACACCTCTGGATGGCTTTTCTAACTTGAAGCTGTACTTTTCTGACTAAAACTAACTAAAGACGAGTAGGACCCAATGAGGTTCTAGTGTTTTATGGATACAGAAGCCTGCCTATGCCACACAGAAGAAAAGGCAAGTGTGAAGATGGGCATAAAAGAGCTGCAGGGCTCCAGAGAGTGCTGTGTGGGTTGAGAAAAATAAGAGTAAGAAGTGGA